ATAATGGCATAGCCGCCGCGCCATCAACACGAGCGAACTCTGATCCTTCGTTCCTGTTTGATTTCTGTATACATGTACTTATGAAATTATGTCCAGTGGTTTTAAAGAGTAAATATATACACATTATTATGTATAAGTTCAGAGAGTATCTATATACACATTATTATGTATATGTCCAGTGGTTTCAGAGAGTAAATATATACACATTATTATGTATAAGTCCAGTGGTTTCAGAGAGTATCAGCAAGTTAGATAACAAATAAGTAAAATTGTTCAGAGGTTTGCGGTATCAATAGTATTAAGGTGTGTATTTGCACGAAGTAATGTCACTAATACCACTCTCCCCGGGGAGTGAGTAAGTGTTAATGAATGAATGAATGAATGAATGGATGGATGGATGGATGGATGGATGGATGGATGGATGGATGGATGGACGGACGGACGGATGGATGAGACAATTGTGTTAAATATTTTGTTAGTATGAATACGATCTCAGAGTGTTAATTATGTAAACTAATATAAAAGCTGGAAGTTTTTTATGTAGTGTCATTAGATTTAATTTTATTTTGTAGCCCTGAGTATAATCTTGTGAGCTGGCCTCCGCTAAAGTGACTAGCCATGAGAAGCAAATGATCAGTCAATTACTAAATGGTGCGTCTTAACCTTTTCACCTCCAGTTCCCTATTTCATCACAAATTCACAAAATTCTCCTATTTATAGTCTGCACTTGATTGGAACAAAAATAGTGACAATTTTTGAATAAAAACTGAAAATTGACTTAAATTTTGTCTGTTGGCTCCAAAATTCCAGAAATATTGAAGAATATAAGAAAGAAGGTGCAGAGAAATTTGTATAAAAAAGTCTGGTGGTGAAGAGTTTAAGGATGCCAACTGACAGAATTGTACACAGGGCTATCTCCCTACCAACCTTCCCTGGAACATTGCAATATCCTGGCAAAGTTGCCATTGTTTGTTATGACTTCAATTTGCAGTCTAAACAATTTTACACTCCTAGACACAACATTTTCACAAGGGGTGTTTATTGTAAAAATGACAATGCAACTATTATGTACAAGAGCATTATTAAACAATATACACTTTCTTTCCATTTTACCCATGTAATACTTATTTGTTAGCTGAATATTATGAGATGTTTGATTAGTCTCGTCCACATTCAAATAATAAGTTCCTGTTGGAAATCTGCAAAACTCGCAATAAAAATGGTCATAAACCAGTAAATCACAAAAGGTTGTAGCAATGAACTGCACGACAACTGCTACCCATTACAATTTAGAATCACAGTGAACATTTCACTAAATGTCCGTATGACTGAGTTTCACAGAGAACATTTCACTGGGGTCCTTAAAACTAGGAGTCGAATATTACAGTGAACATTTCACTAGCGTCCTTATGACAAGGTGTGACAAATTTTCTTTTGTAAAAAAAATCACCAAAATCATGAAAATTGCTAGCTTTAAATGTAAATAATATTTATGGTGTTCACAATGTTTTGTCATACAAGTTTATAGTTGAACGTTGTATTTAAAATACAGGGATCAATGTGCCTGGACTCTGGTGCATACTTAGTGAATTATCCATGGCTGTAGCGAATGCAAACAGAAAGAACCCCTAAAGACAGTGGATGTACAGAAAGATATTGAAGAAGATGGAGAGGAGTCTGTTTCTTACCAACGTATGTTAATTTGTAAATGTAAATTTGCATAAATTATCACTCACCAATAAGTGTAAATTTGCATAAATTATTACTT